GTCGGCTAAGATCAAGAGGGGCAGAAACGAGGCGCAAGTAAAAAGGGAAAAACAAAAGCGATATAAATAAATAAATACAATTTCGCGGCCAGGCATTTGGCCGATTGATTTCTCCAGCACGAAAATGGCCAACTGGCAGGAGAAGGAGAAGATGCAGCAAAAGAAGGAGGAGGAGCAGGAGTAGCCTCTCTGGGCCAAGCTCACGCTGCTTCGCTTGCAGGCTCGCAAATTGCCGCATATTTGTTGAGTAATTACGCTTTAACTTGTAATAAAGAAGACAAACAATAAAACGAGGATCCCAGGATGAAGTTTCTCGAGCGGCACAGCGCAACACTCGACGCTGTCTGGTTGGTTGCTTGCCCGAAAGAGGCCTTCGAACATCTGTGCGGCGCGTTCTCAATTGAAAAGCGTGAATAACAAACGTGAACGGGCCGCAAACGCGCAAATTGGCTAAGAAGTCAGTCAAGCGACTTCTTCGCTCATCAAGATTTTAGTTTATGCGCCGACATCGATTGCGTTCGCTCTAGATCGCGATAGTTGCGCTCTTACATCAATTCTGGCCAGGCGAGACTGTTTAGCTTGAAGTCTAGCTATCAGCTTGAAATGTTGTCTCGTTGCTATTGAAAATCTAGCTTCTTTAACTGCTCAATTTTTAGCTACATTAGTATTTTAGCTAGGAATAAGGATTACTTGTAATAGAAAAAAAAACATTTTAAGCTAGTTATAAAGTCTATTAGTTTGGATCTCTAGCTAAAAGCTGTGCCCTTTTTAGCCTTAAATATGTCATTGATTCTAGCTATAAATTTTTATGCCACTGCAAAGCTCAAACTTTCTAGCTAAAAACCAGACTGTTTTGGCTTTAAATATGCCAAATATTAATTGATTATAATCGAATGATGTTCTTCAGTTACCAAATGAATGGAATATAGATTCTTGTTAACTAGCTAAAACTGTATTTGCTTTGGTTACAAAATTTGTTAAATTGAAGATTTTAAATCAAAATATTTATATTTTTATATATTTCTCGAGTATATATATATATATATATATATAATATGCTACCTAATGGACAAATGATTTAAATTCTTATCCCATACAGTTGCACGCATGAACTAACATTGGAGTGGCTGTATCTGTCGCTGTCTCTTTCCCGCTCTATCGCTCTATCTAGCTGTCGCACTCGAATGCTCTGTTATTGTGCTGTCTCTGTCTATTGTTAAGTTAAGCGAAAACAAATCTTTGCACTAAGCAGCCGCAGTCAAAGAGCCAAAGAGCCGAAGAGCCAAAAGAGCCAAACGTAGCAATGCTTAATTTACTGTTGGGGACTGTAAGAGAGGCGAACGGAGATGAAGATGCAGCAGAGATGTGAAGATGTGAAGATGGAGACTGACTGAGTGAGCTGAGACTGAGACAGAGACTGAGACTCAAACTGAGACTGAGAGGCTAGCTGGTCGGACTGGCAAAGCCATAAAATGCATTATTATGCTAAATGACTATAAAAATCACGTTTACAATCCATTTATGCCTGGGATAATAACCCATCTCTTTTGAACTGAGGCGCAAGGAAGAAGCTGCCCCAATGGGCCGACTGAGTCTGGACCTGGATCTGGACCTGGCACTGGCACTGGCACTGGCACGCAGTTGCAGTTGGACGCTGGCTCCAGTTCGAGAGTTGAGAGTCGAGTCGAGTCGAGTGGAGTCGAGATGTTGGCTAAAAACCCTGAAAGGCAGCATTTGTTTACGCCGCGAATAATTGAGTTATCTGATCCCCTGCTAGCCACAAGACAGACACGAATAAGCTGCAACAGCTACAAACGAGACCTAGGCTAGGCACAAGCTGCCAAGTGGGGGAGGGAGGCGAGGTCTGTTCGTTCGTGTTGCATGTTTGGCAGCAGGTAGGTGTGGCCGGCCTACGTAGCAAATTGCTGGGGCGCATTAGAAGGCAATGCCGCCCAGGAACCCCGCCTACCCCCGTTCCGTTCCCTCCCTTCCCCTCCTCTCCCACTGACTTCTCTACTAGCTGCCCTTAGCTGTGGCCTGGCACTTGGTAATGACTTTATTTGGTTGCTGCGTTAATGGGGCCGCAGTCGCAGCTGCAGTCGCTGTCGCTGTCGATACCGACGCAGACGCAGGCGCAAGCAGCGCAAATTGAAAGCGCATTTCAAAATTTTTCACACCTGAAAATTGTTTCGTTTCAAGAAGGTTGACTGACGCTCTCGAAGCCAGCGGGAAGGCGGCAAGTGCAGCGAATTTCAACAAGATGAGAGCGGCAGAGGGAGGAAGGGAGAGAGCGGGCGAGGGCGAGGACGAGGACGAGGACGAGGGAGAGGGCGAGACAGACGAAAACACTTTTCACGTAGCGCCGACTGACAACGACGGCCAAAGCGACCAAAAAGGTGCCGACCGGCGGCTGCAATTAATCAAAATTTAATTTCAAATCGCAACGACGACGTCGACGTCGACGAAGCAGCCGAAAAAATTGAAAAGGCTAAAGAGAAAACTGGCTAAAAAGAAAATGTAATTAATCACAAGGCGGTTGCAGTTGCATTTGCCTTAACAGCTTGCCGTTGTCGTTGTTGTTGTTGTTGTTGTTGTTGTTGTTGTTGTTGTTGTGCGTCTCTCGCTGTTGGAATCAAGAGATAGAAAAGCCACAAGAAAGCAACAAAAGCCGCGGCATGCAAAGGCGCCCCCCACCCCCTACCCACTCCGTACCCCACCCCTACCTCCACTTGTCTTTTATCTCGCTTGCCTTATAAGACCGTTACACATTATTGTAAAACTTATGATAATATTGAAGTTCGCTGCCCAAAGGCAATTAATTACATGCTTATATGGATCTTTCGTATAGACTGTCTTTTCTTAATGTTTCACTATATTGGCTTGATATAGTTTACGGATAAAGCTGTGATGCTTGCTTAAATGTGTGATCCAATGAAGATTATAGAAATATGCTAATTCCATTGTCTGTAAGCTGCAGCGGCTATCTTCACTCTACTTTCTTCTGATTTTAAAGATCGTTAAATATCGTTAAAGTTGTGTATGTTCATAATTATCTTTGTGTATTCATATACATATACATATATCATAGTTTAACTAGCTTAGTCAATTGATTGCCTTTTACACACAATTTAAAAAAAAAAAAACAGAAAAACAACTTTTTTGCATAGCATAGCCTGAAGCTGACTCTTAGATGGCGCCACTAGTAATGGCAAGGCAGCTTAACCACTATAACAACAGATGGCGCCAATCAAACGTTGCCAGCTCAATACAATAAATAGGCTAATGTAAAAATTAAATCTGTGGTGAATAAAGGCCAAGGGTAAAACAGTCAATCATTAATGCCTGAACCGTTCTATGGTTCTTGTCAAAATGAACAGCGTAGACAGGCTAATGAATGCTACCCAAATTTCTACTATTACAAATTTCAAATGTTAAGTCGTTCATCATGTTAGCTCGCAGAACATAAACTCGAATACTGATTGTAACATTTCTGAAGTATTTCCGAGATTCGCCGATTGCATTCACCCAGTAAAAACGAAAGCGTAGCAACAATTTCGTTTAATTTTTATTATTAAAAATTTGTTATATTGCCTTTCCATTGCTCTTGTTTCTTGCTTTCATTTCGCTGGTCTTTTTGGTGTTTTTTTTTCGTTTTTTTTTTAAATATATTTTTTTCTTTTTAATTATCTCCTGCTTATTACATTTTAATAAACAATTAACACTATGCAACAGGATTTTATTTTTAACAGAAAACAGAAAGATAAAACGCTCGATTTGTTTTCAAATGAAATTTTTGATTTTAAGGTTTTGCTATTTGATGTGGTATGAAACTTTGTTGCACAGTGTAATTGCAAGTGTTTATTGTATTCGCTGCATTGTTGTAAGTTCAAAGAAAAAGAAAAAGAACAACTTTAAATCGGTTTGTTTGCATGTTTAAAATAAATATATACAAAGTGTAGTTCAAATAAATATATACAAAGTGTAGTTCAATAAAATTAAAAACAAATAATATACAATAAAAAAAAAGATATATAAGTATATATATATATATACGATTGAATACTTATAGAACTGAGCTTTAAACATAAATAACGAATAAGTACAAAAGGAAAACAAATTTGGTTAACAATCAATTAAATAAATGTACATATTGCATTTGGAGCCCGCAATTGCTCAACTAATTAATAATTAATACATACATATATATGATAATAATAAAGATACATTAAATATTACATTATCAATTACAATCAACATTATTCAGATGTTTACATTGCTCTATATATATATGACATACTTTCGTGTTTTCGTTACATTTCATTTTGTTTTCTTTTCTTTATTTCTTGTTTGAGTCTTGCTGAACTCTGGGCACGATTCTGAGAGCGATTCAAGTTTTGGCAAAGCATTGTGGCTACAGAATCTGCTAATGAAAATTATAGGAAAGTAAAGATAAAATCAAATTGATTAAAAATAAATATACATGTTTATCAACATTGGTTCAAGTTTGAGCAATTGTCGAGTATTTCATTTCATTCAAGTGTCAGACTATAAATTTACCAAACAGATTTATCTCGCTTAACATCTTAACTTCAACAGCCTTTTTAAGGTTTCAAATACAACAACGCCTCAAATATTGTAGGTCATTCTTGAAGTTCTTAAACGATTTCGTTGCACTGAGTTTCGAGCACTTGAGCAAATTTACAGCTTGAACATTTCAAATTGGTAAGAAAACATATTTCGGAATAAACATCTTGTGCAAAACATATATATATATATATTTATATAAATATATATAGATATAGATATAGATATATGAGTGGCAAAAGCTAAAAATCACAGCTAAAAGGCAAGCATTTAAGTTTTATACAATAATCTAGAAATCGAGAATTTAACGCGCTCGCCAAATTCATCGTGCTCAAAGTTTGCAGCTGGCTGTGTTAATTGTTATTATTATTTATTATCTATTATCGACTCTAGTTATGCATAAGTATATACATTGGTTTTGTTTGCTGTTCTTACTATTGATGTTGTTCTTATTGTTGGTGTTGTGTTCTTGTTTTACTTGACTACGCATAATCATATCAATTAATATATGTTTTTGTTTTATTTTGTTTCGCCTTTGCTTTGTCATTAATTAGTTAATATTTATAGTATAGCACCGAGTACAAAAATGATCAATAAACAGAGTTTTGAATTTCTTCATCTTCTTCTTTGCATCCTTTATCAACAATTATTTTGTTTTTGTTGCTGTTCTTTTTGTGTGATTGTGTTTTTAAATGCCTTTGCTCTTGCCTTGATTTTATCATTAATTGTTTTGTTTGTTTGTTTGTTTGTTAAATTCTACTACTTATATAATGTAATAATTTCTGTTGCTTTCGCTTTCGTTCAAATTCTTTGTCGCCATTTGCCTCGCTTAATTTTACATAGAGCCATCGCCAGATATCTACAAAGACAATCAATTTAGCTACGGATGGAACAATATATACTTGTGCCTACTCACCTGCGAGTGCGAACTGTCGCTCTCCACCTGCTCGGAGTAGCAATGCTTATAGTTAAGATAGTCTAGAAGTCTTCTTGGTAATGGCAATGTCTGTATTAGATCCTTTCGTATAACCGCCTTTAGTATAACAAATCTGTACGCAAAAAGAAGAATCGAATTAAATGTGGGCTTATAAAAGATTTATTGAGCAATTAATTACTAAACTCACCTGCACATATGCTGCAAGCTTTGTACATGCTTAAATCTAGATACTGGATTGGTTAATTGCACACGCATTGGTCCATGCTCCGGCCGACGATGCAGAAAGAATAAATATCTAAAGAAATGCAAAGATATATATATATATATAAATATAGTATAATTGGGAATTTTCAACGCACCTGCCGCTGCGCGAATGCTCGACTGCCTTCTCAATGAACTCGGTTATAGTTTGCGATTTGAACTTGGCATATGAGCCAAACGAGAATGTGCCTGCAATGAAAACAGAGACAGACAGACAAACCAGATAGAGAGAGATAGAGAGAAAGTGTGAGATTAATTATTGTATACATTTCATAGAGATTATCATTCCATAACTTACCCTGATCCTGCTCGATGCGCACATGGCGCACGCAGTTGTTTAGCTTGAAGCTCAACGAGAATATATAATGATCATCGGAGCTGTCGCGCACTATGAACGAGCCATCCGGCTCGTTGGAAAGCACCTTCTCGGCGGCCTCGCTGGACAGTGGACCCCAGTACCAGCCATACTGCAAAGGCGAACGATAAGTTAATAGCGCATAAAGAGAACAAAGTAACGAGCAAAGCAAAGAGAAAAGAAAAGAGTGTTCGGAATAACGAGTAGAGCAAAGAGGCGGACTCAATCAGAGCAACGCATAGCGAGGACGGACAAAGAGAATAAAGAATAGAAGACAAGGTGTATCGAGGTATCGAGTAGCTAACAAGGCAGGCAAGAGCTAGCCTGAGGTTAAGAAAGACAACTCACGTCTTTGACTTTCTCAATGCTTGAGGTAAACTGAAGTGCACGCGGCTCTTGCGCTCCGGCGCTCTTCTTTTGCTCCTCCGATTCCGTTTCCGCGGCATCAATGGCATAAGCTGCAAAGCAGTTAGTTAAACAATTAGTTGCAATTACTCCAATAAGTTCACACAGATGGGCGCTCACCTTTTCGTGGCAAGGGCGGCAATGCCCGCGACTGAAACTTTTTGCGTAGATCGGCACTCGGCTCGCTGCGATTGAGACACTGATTGTTAGCTTCATCCGTATCGGTGGCATCGGTCGCCGATGCTGTGGCACTCACAGCGGCAGCTGCGGCAGTTGTGGCACCTACTGAAGCTGCTGTTGCCGCCGCTACTGCTGCATTGGCGCTGCGACAGCGACTGTGATTGCTGCGCCGAAAGCGAAAGATGCTGCAGAACTTCTGCTTCAGATTCAGCGAGAATTGCGACTTCTTTTCCGTGTGCAGCAGATGCTTGTTGTTGTTGGGTTGCTCCGACAGCAGCTTCTCAGATGAGTTGGTCAGCTGGGTGGTGCTGCCAGCAGCTGCCGACGGTTGTTGTTGCGTCTGTTGCTGCTGCGCATAATTGTTGCTGCTGCTATTGTTGTTATTGTTGTTGTTGTTGTTCAGCTTATCATTGTCGATGTTGTGTTTGTTCTGTTTGCTCAGATATTTGGCGGCGGTGTCGCCCCCGCTGTTGGCAGCACCGCCACTCGCCCGTGTGGTGCCCGCACTGCTACGCGTGCGCGCCGTCGTTGTTGTTGTATTTGTCGTGTTGGTGGTGTTCGTAGACATGCTCCAAATGGTCTCGTTGCTCGACTTGACGCCCAGCGCTTTACTGCCAACGCCAGCTGCTGCTGCGCCTAACATTTTGTTGTTGGTGGCAGCACTTGCACCACACCAAGAGGATTTGCCCGCATCGGAGTAGAGCGTATGATAGAACTGCTTCACCTCATCTAGCGTCATATGCAGCGGCTCAGCTTCACCACTTTGCACCACCGGCGTACGATATTTGCCATGTTTGCCCGTCTTGTCGCCGCCGTCATCGCTGGTCTCCACCACCGTCGTCGCCCCCGCCGCCGCCGCTGCTGCAGCTGCCGCCGCATAGCGTTGTTTACGCTTGTTTCGTTTGTTGCGTCTACTCGAAGCCTTGTGGTACGCCACATTCTGCTGTTGCGGCTGCTGCTGCTGCTGCTGTTGCTGCTGCTGCTGCTGCTGCTGTTTCTCCAGCTGCTGCTGTTCGAGCTGTTGCTTCTCCAGCTGCTGCTCAATCATGTCAACGGGAAAGGCATAGATGTCCGAATCGATGGGCACGTTGTAGAAATCGGAAATTTCGCGCGTAAACAGCGCATCATGCGACATCGCCTGCGTTATGAAAATCGAATCATCCGGCTTGTTCGCCGACGACACGTTCAGTGAGTTGTGCGAACTGCTCAGGCGACTGTTAAGCGAATTGCGCGAGTTGGGCCGCTGGCCATGCTGCTGATGATGGTGATGGTGGCCGTGATGGTGATGGTGATGATGCGAATGATAGTGACAGTGACTGGTGTGGCCCAGTGGGCTATAAAGCAACTGCCTACGCTGCAGGCTGCTGCTGCCGTTGTCGCCCTGCGGCTGCATGGCTAGCTGCCTGCCTCGCGCCCCATAATACAGATCGTAATCGTGTATTTCGGATAGGCCGGCGGTATTGAAGCGCTGCTGTGCCGCAGCTGCTGCCGCCGCCGCCTTCGCACTGGCAATGCTATCCTGTTCCGTGGGTATGGCCTTGAAGTAGCGCGTATGGTCCTGATAGTAGGGGCACAGCGTCTGTTTAATTTTTATTATCGAGACGGGCGGCGGTGGCGATGGCAGCGATGGCGAACAGCTGCTCTGCTCCGAGGCAGCCTCGTCGTCATCGTCATCAGCATCATCATCCTCATCATTGTCATCGTCCTCATCGTCGTCGAGCAGGTCAATACTATTGCCCAGCGAGCTGCTTATAATATTATTTGGTTCGTCGTATATGTTGTCCGTATGGCTGTTCAGTATGGAATCGCTCGAGTACAGATGCTTGTTGATGGCATACGATTCCTTGAGCGTGCGCTCCTGGCACAGCACAGCAACTGCTGCAGCGCTTGACTGCGAGTGGCTGGCCACAACAGCAGCCGCTGCAGCTGCAGCATCACTGAAAGAGTGCTTGCAGCTGCTGCTGGTGCTGGTGATATCCAACGTTGGTTTGGCCAGCAACAGCACCAGCTCCTGGTTGACACCTGTGACTCCGCTAGCCACCGCAGCACTGACCATCGTCACATCATCCTTGAGATGCTCGAACGACGACTGCGATGAGGTCCAGCGGCGCAAGCTATTAACAATGTTCTTGGAGATGGAGCGCACGAGAGTCGTTTGAGGCGAGTCCTGGAATTCGGGTGGCGGATCAATCGGCGCCAGCGGCCCCTTTTTAAGCGTATTAAAGTTCTCCGCGCTCATGCCACCCTCCGAGCAATTGTCCAGCGAATCGAACTGTGACACCTCGCCATCGCTCTCCACCATCTGCAAAGCATAGAAGTCAGTTAATCGGCTGGCGGACAGTGAAGTGTACTCATTGTGCACTCACCTCAATCTCAAATTTGCACATGCCAATGCGATACGAATCGCCGCTGGATATGGAGCTGTTGGTGGTCAATGGGACGCCGCTGTCATCGCTCAGCGAGGCAGCCGCATTCAGTTCGATGCTGTTCGCGCTGACCAACTCATGATCGCGCGTCGTTGCGGGCGGTGGCATCATGCTGCTAAAGCTGTCGCTGCTGCAAATGCTAACGGTCACACCGACGCCGCTGCCACCGGTGGTGCAGTTGCTGTTCCCATTGCACAGTTGACTCTGATTGAGGCTCTGATTTGGATTACCATTCGAGTTGTTGCACTCCTTAAGCTTAATGGACGATTCCATGTTCAGTGTATGTGTGTGTGGTGTGTGTCTGTGTGTGTGCTTGTGTGAGTGTGTGTGCTGTAAGGTAGAAATAGAGTAAAGTAGTTAATTAATTGATTGATTGAGCTAAAAACGGAAAACATGTCCATTTCCATTTTCCGGTCAAAGGGAAACTGATTAAAAGATAATCTGATTGCATTTACGTTATCCACTTTGAAGGTGAAAACGGTTCGGGCTTATAAATACTTCAGTTTCAGCTTGGTTTGCTGTATACTTGGTCAATTATAATCGAAATTTTTTCACATTTTGCAATCCAATTTATTTAGGCACCTCCACTGCCCCTAGTTTCACTGTCAATCATCTAATTGATTGATCGACCTTCTTTGCAAATCAAATTCTTGAACAATGTTCGGTCTCAGTTCTGGTTCATTCATTCATTATGATAAAGCCGCTTCGCCTGGCGGTTCGTGCTACATGCCTTTTCAATGTATTGCCAATTAACGCTTGATGAATTGATAAATTGATTAATTGATGACACACATCGCACATCGCGGCGCACACATCACATGACCTTTGGGTGCGGCGTCGTTGTTGCTGCTGCTGCTGCTTCTTCTTCTCCTACTGCTACTGCAACAACGAATGCTGCACCGAATTGAAGGTCAATGACAGTTGCGTGCGCCCAGCCACCCAACCGCCCAACCTCTCCCTCTGCCAAAGCATTTTGGACAGCATTTGCTTGTGCGCAGAAATTGTTGTCAATTTAGTAGTAGATTTTGGGCGTAGATGTTTGCTACGTTTTTTTTTTAGCAAATGCGCTGACGCTGTTTCTGGCAATTTAAAAATGCACACACGCACTCCCATATACATATACTAACACAATGCCAACGCGTTTCAGTGCGTAAAATACTGCGATGTGTGTAGTACACACACATACATTCATATCAACACAAGCACATATATATACACACACACACAAGCGCAGCACCGCCCAGCATCAGCCAAAAGGAATAGCCGGAAAATTTGACGCTACTGCGCTGCCGCTGCCGCTGTCGACGTTAACGGCATCATCGTCGTCGGCGTCGTTGTCGTCGTTTTCGTAGTAAGTCGTGCGCTGTAGTAATTTTTTTTATAACGGAATGCCGCTATTTAAATGCGTTGCATCCAGTCAAGCGTTATTGCAATATATATATATTCATATATATATTATTTTGGCGAGCGAAGGCAGGAGCGAGAAGGCAATAGTGATAACAAATATTCTTATTAGAGTTTTTTGTCACTTTGTATATACACAACTGGGCGCTCGCACACAATCACACACATACACACACTGGCAGCGACGCAGCAGCAGCACCAACTCACATGAACGTAACACCTTAGCTTAATTTAATTATTGCTCTCCTGGCTCTCGCGTACACACAGCCAGACACTAAAGCACACACACACATACACACTTTTTTTACTTTTTATACGAGTGTCGCACACTCACACAAATACACACACATGCACGCCAAATGCATTAGCATTCATTACAATTCCACGGCGCATACAATTTTCATTGCACTTGCCTTGGCTGTAAGCACTGGCTCTCTCTTGCCTTGTTGCGATTGCACTGCTATGCCTACAGATCGCACTTTTTGCTTAACACACGCACTTTGTTAATAAACACATATTGATTGCTTGCATTTGCACACATTGCAATTGTTTTTCGGCTGCTGCTTTCAATTTCAGCATTATTTTAATCGTCCAAAACTCCGACGTCGTTTCAGCGTCGTTCCCAGTGTGACCAGCGCCGGCCAATGATAAAAAGCTAAGCGGTGGTTTTCAGGAACCAAAATACCATAGCATTTTATATATACCCTCCGTTATCGATTTACATGCTTAAGTTTATAACTGAACGTCGCGAAACTTATCGATACCCATTACATTTTCATTTTTCAAATTTGACCTTTTTATTAAGCACAATTTACAATTGGCAACAACTTTTTGCTTATGTACTAAGAGAAGAAAAAAAACACACAGTGACTGCTATAAATGCAAAACTGATTTGAGAGTAACAGCTCCAGGCGGCATCAGTCCACTTTAGGGCATCATGCGGAGAGCACCGTCCAGGCGGATGACCTCACCGTTGAGCAACGGATTCTCATAGATAGCCTGCACCAGTTGAGCGTACTCGCTGGGTTCGCCCAGACGCTGTGGAAAGGGTATCGACTTGGCCAAGAATGTTCGCACCTTCTCTGGCAGCGCAGCCAACATCGGTGTATTGAACAAACCTGGGGCAATCGTGCAAATGCGAATGCCTTGGGTGCTCAAGTCACGTGCAATGGGCAGAGTCATGCCCACAACGGCAGCCTTCGACGCCGAGTAAGCGGCCTGACCAATCTGCCCATCAAATGCAGCCACCGAAGCGGTATTCACAATAACGCCACGTTGGCCATCTTGATTGGGTGCATTAGCGCCCATTAGGCCGGAGGACAGACGAATCACATTGAAGGTGCCCACCGTATTAATGTTGATCACACGCTGGAAATCCTCCAGGCGATGGGCAACATTCTTGTTGAAATTGTAAGTCTTCACGGCGGTCGCGGTTCCCGCACAGTTGACCGTCAAGTCTAGACGCCCGAACTTGTCCTTGGCCGTTTGGAGAGCGGCGCTCACATCCTGCTCGGAGGTGACATCGACGGGCACAAAGACTACCTTGTCGCCCAGCTCCTTGGCCACCTCGTTGCCCTTGGAGGATGGCAGATCGGCGAGCACAACGCTGGCGCCCTGCTTGGCGAGGCGTTCGGCTGTGGCACGGCCCAGGCCGGAGGCGCCACCAGTCACCAGGGAAACAACGTTCTACAAGTGATATTCATAATTAACATTAATTATGGCTGATTATGGAAAGTTTTTTTATTTTTAATTATTGTGTAACGATAAGACGGCGCATCAAATCTTTAGGTACAAGGTACATGGTACACATACATACAGTTATTCTTGGCAGACAATGGTGGTCCCAATTGGACTTTGTACCCAATTGTCAGATAGAAGTCTCCAGTACAAAACTAAAGCAGCTAAGCGCTAGACAATATGTTCAGCGATTTATTGCATACAAATACTATATACAATGCTTACCTTGATCATATTAAATGTTGTGTAAAATTTAAATCAATTGGTTAAAAAACTGCAGAGAAATCTGGAAGACTAGTTGACGACGACGGCTCTGCGGTAGTAAAACACCGGTTGCTGCTTTGACGACTAGGGCTGGGCAATAACTGCTTAGCAAGCTTCTTCGATAGTCGAGTACACGAATACCAATTCATTTAAATAATTGATAGTCAAAGGCAATCGATTGCAGGCTGTGGCAAAAGAATTTTATATTTTTAGCAAATTTACAATAGAAAGCTTACTTTCAATATCATATAATCATATCATATATAATCATCACATAATATATAAGCAAAATTTTCAAGAAATCAAATACAAGCGCACCTTGAACATATATTTAATAAATATAACTGGTGGTATTTAACATTCGATTAATTTCGATTGGCAAGACAATAGGTAAACAGCTGTTTTCCTTGTTTTTCTTTATTTTTAGTTTCGCTGTTGTTAAATAGAATTCATGATTATTGCAAATCGTAATTTTATGCTGCCAAGCGAGTTATGGAAGAAGACAATCATAATAATAAGATCCATAGAACGATTGATATCGATGCACAAAACAAAATCATCTTAAGTTTACGTCAGCAGCAAAGTAAGTGTTCCAAAAATATTCCAAGTTACTTCTCAATGCATACAAGAACTATTAACATGATTGCCCTATTCTATGACAGAGAGCGCAAACGCCAAGCAGCCTGCCCAGGAACGACTTAAACGTCTGCAATCAAATTTAAAACAATTGAAAGACAGAAAAGTTGACAATGAACGAGTCTTGGCCAAACGAAGTAGCACAAACTGCAGCAATTCTGCCAGCACGAGCTCTTCTGCCACATTTCACACAATGTGTAAAGCATATGAGCCCAGGCAGTCGAAGGGCTTAGTGCAGCACTCTCTGAAGATTACAAAAACGCAACTGCCAGTGCACAGCTGCAGTCCAAGTTCACGCATTTCTGTTAAGGATGCCTGGGCGAAGCCCAAGGCGTTGCTTGATGCAAGCAATCGACTAGAAAGGAATCACTCCATAAGTGGTAAGCCATAAATAATCTTTAGATGTGAAAGATTTACTGATCAGTTTTGCTATTTGTAGCCAATCAACGTCTTATGATGCTACGCGAGTCACTGCAGCTGCAGCAGCCGCAGTCGCAGCAAAAGGAGGCGAATAACAACATTAATAAAAGTGACGCAATCGGCAAGCAGCTGCCAGCTACAACTGCCACAAGCAACGTCAAGGCAACCCCTTTACCAAGTTTAAAGCACGATGTGGAACCCATGGACATAGACTGTCAAGAAGGGGAGGAGGAGCAGGAGGTGGAAGAGGAGGAGGAGGAGGAGGAGAAGGAGAAGGAGAAGGAAAAGGAAAAGGAAGAGCAGCATGTCACCAGCTCTGCAGTGGTGCGTATTAAAGAAAGTTTTATATTCAATACAATTTGGTTTACCACTCTTTTCGCACAGTTTGATTTAAGAACGAATAACAATCAGAGCCAACTGGAAAGTAAATCAGATCTGACGCTACAAAGGCTTCTGGGTACTGGACAGGAGTTGCCCGCGCGTTGTGTGGATCACATGTACTTTGTGCTGGACACAAATGTGCTAATGGATAACCTTGTCTTTGTGGAGGACCTGTGTCATGTGGCATTAGGCGAAACAAAGGGCAGCATGCTGTATATACCATACATTGTCATCAAGGAGCTGGACAAGCTCAAGGACACACGCAATGAGGACAAACTAAAGCGTACAAAAGCCATACGGGCCATACACTATCTAAATAAGAAGTTTGACAATAGGCTCAAAATTCAAGGTACGTACAAATGAGGTCTTTGAAATGAGCTCTAAAATGATATTGATTTATTTGTAATTGATGTAGGCCAATCTGCGCTGGAGGAGGCGAATCATTTGATCGATGTTGATTGCCCGGATGACAGCATTGTGAACTGTTGTCTGCAGCTGCAGTCAGAGGTGCCGCATCTGATGCTTCTGACCAACGACAATAATTTACGCCTCAAGGCCAACGCCTCAGCTATACAAGTGTCCTGCCGTTCCGATTTGGTAAATGATTATCGTTCCCAGTTCGATGCATTACCCTCATCATAGCTTACGTCCATGGAGGACGTTAGTCGAAGATTGCGTTTGTGATAGATGTGTAGATTGAACCACCACTGCACCGCTGACAACACGAAGTACAATTTGCCTATGCACACATAATATATTTATAAAAATATAAATAAATTTCATGTATATACATTCACATATCTAGCTACTTATGTAAATAGACATATACGTATATATTTAATTCGTATTTAAATAGACGACTCACAGACTTATAAGCAATAAACTTTATACAATTAGCAACTGTTTACATTTCGAGTTTAAGCTGATAAAACATTTCCTCTTAAGTTGCTTTTGTTTATGTTTCAAATTTGTTTCCCTTTTCGGAGATGGAGACAAAGATAGCAACTGGCAGGAGAAGAGTTGATTTAGAGTATGGAATGGGTTGTGCACAGAAAACATGACTGAAATATTCATTAGATACAGCCATATATAATATTAAGGCTATAAATTATATTGTAGAATTGCTTCTAGGGGTTACGTCGCGCGATAATCAATGGAAGTCCAATATACACTTGTCCGATAATATTTGTGAGTAGATAAACTTGTAACCATATATCAGCTGACATCCAGTTATCTCAGCAAGATAGTCTACATGGAAATAGATAGGGGCTATCTCAGCGTATTTGGCTGTCGGTGTGTCGCTGCTGCTATAGATAAATAATTTATGTATTTTCCTTGTTTAATTTTAATTAGGCAAAAACTCCGAGCGTCTTATCAACTGGCGAATAAATATAGATCCGCTGTGCTTGGTCCCGCCTGCTGCAGCTGGGCAATATTTTAAAGCGCATTGAACGCTTGTACTGTGCGGGTGGTGTCGAACGCGGTGTGCCGCTAAAGAAGCAACAAGAGTTAAAAAATAAATCCAGATAAAACACGGATGCACACGTTGGGTGACAGCGACAATTGTTTATTGCCTGGCACAATTAACTTAAGCTATATAAAAATTGTATGTACGAACTATATATATATATATATATAAATATATATATAATGTATATATATGTGTGTGTGGGTGTGTATAGTGGTGTACATGATGTGTGTTTGTGTTTGGTTTGCTAATTTACAAACTGGCGAGTTAAGCAGCGACGAAATTTGATTAGATTCTCTCCATATTTATGTTTGTTTTGTTTTCCTCCGTTTTTATACACATTGCAATTGGAAACTAATATCGTTCCAAATGCTATGACGCTCCCACTGCTGCAGCAGCATTGCCGCCCGATGCAGCGCCATTAATTGACGCCAGCTCCAGGCCAAGCTCCTGTCCTACAATTTGCCATCGCCGGCACCGGTCATCAGCTGCATGCGCTCCAATTGCTCGGCCAGGGCGCGTTGTTCGCTGGTCAAACGCAGAATCTCCTGTTTCTCTTCGTTTGTGTGAATCTTGCGCTTGGCACGATACTGCAGCATGCGCTTATAGCACTCAAGTATCTCTTGATCGATGCTATCCAGTTTACGTTTCAGTTCGATGCGTTTGATCTCCTCGCTGGCGCCGGCGCGCAATCGCTGCAATTCGTCGCTATTGAATTGAGCCACCGTATTGATTTCGGCTGTGACGCGTTTAATTTCAAGCAACACTTCATCCACATCCTCGTGTGCGCCCAGTTCATTGGGATCAATTAGTCCGCTGTTCACCAGCTCCTTTTTCAGCCGCTGCTCAATGCCAACGCCATGCTTGAGCATTGCCAGTGAGCGAAAATTGCCAGTGGCAGCCGCCGCTGCCGCCGCATTGCTCGTGGATGAGGAATGTGAGTGGGTGTTCTCGTTGCTGCTGCTATTGCTGTGCTCCCCCACCGCCGCCTGCTCGCTGGGCAGTGATTCGTCCATTAGCGCAGAGACGAGTCGCTGTGTCAGCGGCCCCGTTATACCCTCCTCCAGCATGCCCTCTGCTTTCTTTAGCATGGCGTTTGCATTCTGTGACTTTTGTCGCGCACCACCCGGTTGTAAGGCCTTCATGTCTTCCTGAGCCCAAACAGTGGAATAATGCGGCCCCAGCGACGGCACCGGCGGCACCAGCGGCCCTCGATATTGCTCCAGCAGATCGTCAATCAGTCGCAGATCCTCGTTAGTCAGTGGCATGCAATAAGGCTCAACTGATAGCCAAAATTTATTTGGCATATCGTTTTTGGGCATTGCCACCTTTGGTAAAATTTGTTGTTGTGTTTGCTGCTGTTGCTGCTGCTGTTGGTGGTTAATGGCGGGCATAGTCGTAATATAGTCCATGCTGTCGTCCGTATGCGTGGCTAATGGACTGTTCTTGGCCATATGTTTGGAGCCCGCCAGCTGCTGTTGCTGCTGTTTAAGTATCGTCATGGATGATTGTTTTTTTCGCACGCCCGTCGGCTCATCGCGCAGTTTTCTTTTTGAGTTGTTGTTGGCCGCTGTTGCCGCTGGGCTTCCGATGCCGCTGCTACTGCCTCCGGCACTGTTGCTGCCCAATCCCAATAGGCCATTGAGCATGCCCGGCGTTGTGGGCGGTGAGCCGGGCGGTGCGCGTTCCAGTTTCCGACGATCCTGGCGCTTCTCGTCCTTGTCCAAATTATCGTATTCTGCTTTCAGTACGCGCGTACGCAAGGCCACATTCGAGAGCATTAGCTCCAGTTCCAGTTGCACAGCATCTAAGTCTTCAGCAGCCAAATGTTCGTCCGCTGGTCGTTGCAATGCAGCAGCTATCGTTGGAAGCTGCTTAGGCACGTCTCTGCTGCGGATTAGCGGTATTATTGTACCGCTCGGCGTCACAAAGATATCCGCATCGGCTAATGCATGGGACGCTGATTTGCTGCTGCCAGCACCCGCACTTCCGCCTCCACCTACACCCCCAGTTATTCCAACGCCTGTACCGCTATTGCCATTGGTGTTATTGTTTGCAAGCAATTTGCCAGCTGAGATAGCAAAGCCTGCACCACCAAAGTGGCTCATCTTAAGGTTCTTGAGGTTCGCACTCATTTGGAGCGGCTCAAAATTGCGCAGTTTCACGTGTGTTGTGCTTGCGAAATTCGTTGCAATTTATTTGCGTATAAAAAAGCTGAGGCACTTGCGAGCGAGCGTCGCTTGCGATATCCAAGAACTAACGCGAGAATTGGTCAAAGTATCGATAGTCTCAAATTTAGAGTATCGCACCATAAGTACCGATACTCGCGACTGTAACAGAGACATGAAACATTAGAAATTAAGAACTTAAAATAATTATATGTAAATACATATTTAAATTTATATATATATTTTTTTTTGGTTTTCTTTTCTTTCATTTAGATGTTGAAGTTGCATTCTGTTGCGCAGAAAACTGTGCCATTCGTATTATTATTTTTAATTGCATTTATCGATAGTTGGTAGAGGCGAAGCGCGAATTATTAATTTCCGATTAGCATAGCGTAGCGATACAGCCCTGGTACTTTGTTTCGTTTGCTTTTTGTTCTTTGTTGTTCCGTGCGCGCTATTCTGTGATAAAGTGTACTTAACCAATTCTTTAATGTTATCAATTAGTAATGATTAGATCTTGACCTAAATGCTAATTTAATTATAATAGACGCTAATAACAAATAACTTCAACCGCCTCAATTAAAACGACAGCAATACAAAATAATAACAATAATATTAACAGTACAGCGGAGGAGGAGAAGGAGGAGCAGCAGCAGAAGCAGTGCTGCAAACATCAGCAGCCAACGTTTGTATGTCAACAGTGCCACTTTGGTGCAGTGTACATATGTAAATGTATATGTGTGTAATATTTATGTAATTGAAAAACAATTTTGTCAAAGCTAATCTCGTGATGCGCCGTCAATTAATTGCTCGGAACCGTTTTGACTGGCTCAATCACGCAAAACGCAGACGCAGTTGCTTTACACCAGCATCAACAGCATCAGCGCTTTCATCAACAGCAACAACGACAAGAACAAGAACATTAATGACGACAAGACTTATCAGCGCTGTGCGACGCAGGCGCTGTCTTCCAGACAGCGCTGACTGCTGCCCGCTGCTTTCATTTCCAGAACTGCAGCTGTGAGTCAGACGGAGAGGCGCGCGCTTTGCATTTCTTTTAACAACTTTATTGATCAAATATTTGCATACATGTAGTTGCATTCGTGTGTTTCTGTTTATGTGTGTGTCTGTGTGTGTGTATTTGCTGCTGTCTTATCAGCGCGTATAATCAAGCTAGCAGACAAAATCAGTGTACAGAGCAAACGCGCAGTGATAAGCGAAAAAAGAAACAGGCAACAAGTGTTTAACACATTTGCCTTACTGCTGCTGCGCTGTTGTTGTTATTATTATTATTGTTATTGTTGTTGTTGTTGTTGTTGTTGTCAACATCGCTTCATTTATTGATGCTTAGACGATATGGCCTAATCCATCAGACTGGGCGCGTTGAAATCTATATTTGGAATAAACTGTTGATGTTAACTGAATGAACGCACGCAATTGACATATTGACAGACTATCAATTAACGCCCATAGGTGTATATACTTGTATACATAGATAGGTATGTCTGTACAAATATACATATATATATATATATATATATATATATATATATATATATATATATATATATATATATATATATATATTATACATATTTACATATTGTATATAAGTGGATGTGTGTGTGTTTGCCCTATTGTAAGCGGAAGTTATTGCCCCACAAGACGTTGGCTTTAAGCCCAACAGCTGCTGTTAGGGCTTCGGCTATTTCTATCTGTTGTTGTGGCTTTTTAGCCAATATTTGCTCTATTAATTGATTAAAAATGTTAACGTCTTTGCTTGCACAGCGCAGCGACAAAAATTTTCCAATTTGTTTAGCTTATTATTCAGTCTGCGCTAATGAAAATAAACAAGCATAAAAAAATCGTTATATATGTACAACCCTATGTACATATGTTGTATATGTGATAAGGCAGTTACCAATGCAATGACAATGTTGTTGCTACGCTGTCATATACCTTTAAGCTATATTAAATTGCACTAGTTTGGTGAAAATTCGCCGTATCTAGATATCTTTAGTACTTGCAACTGTCATACTTAAATAGGCATATCTATGATACAGCTCTTAGGTAGTTTAGTTACAATAATACTCATAAAGATACGTCATAATATCATATTTTTGTCCCTAAATGTAATATGTGAATGCATTTAAGAGAGATCCTAGCTCCCCCACACTAACTATACCTAATCTAACGGTCGTGTATAGTGATTATAATCTAACAATAATAAGAGATATAGCTATTTCTTAAGTCCTTAACCTTGCAATACCCATTAAAAACATCACAAATATTCAACATACACAGATCTTGAGTACTTGAACATGTTAATAAAATATCTCTCATAATAATGGTAACATACTAACATATTCGGAAAAAGTTAGATTATTTTAAAACATCTTCCTTTAATATTTGTAAATATTAACGTGAGTTTGAAACATGTAATATGCACGTATAGGATTAAAAAAACATGTAATATAGCAGTTAAATGCTTAGCACAATTGAAATTTAATTTTATTTTCAGACAAGAGATCTTTTAAGATACTTAAGCAATCTAACATTAGACTTTGATGTGCACAAATAGTAGAGATAAAGATAAAGATATACTCAAAGTTCTATTATTAGAAATTCGATGAGTGGATTATAGATTATCGATATGAATATATATTATCGAGTATCTGAATTTGTCTTGCGTATCTTTATTTTGAGGAATCACGCGTGTCTTTAGCTTGCTAACCAGATCTCCATATAATATATCTCTAAAAACTATATACTTTTTATAACCTACTTACTGTACACCCTTACTCTTACCCTTATCCTTACTCTTGCCAACGGTTTGACTTTGCAAAACATATTCTCTTCTTTCGTAATGCTCGTTCACTATTTAAAGATAGATCTAAAGATGTTGGTTCAATGTCCGTCTATCCTCATCAAATTTGTAATATTAAGAAATGATTGATAGAAGCATGTAGTATATATGTTATATATCGTACAAGTCTACCATATCTCCATAAAGAGAGCTATAAATTATATGGAATATTTCTGAGTACAGTCAGTGACTTTTATATCGTGATAGAGTATTATGCAGTCGCTTGCACCCAGCCGAAATGTTTTTATTTGTTTTTACGAGTAATTGTAAGTGCTTAATCGTTCAGCTGATTAGATTTTATCTACATGCATTATTACCAACTACTCCTCATCTAGAAACTGTTCGGCGTCTGCAGCCGGGCGTTAAATTTCCAGCGACTGAGTCGAAGCAGTTAAATATGAACCGATTTTACATTTCTTTCGCATTCGCAGTGTTGGCTCGCAGTTGGCTAAGAACAAAGCCAGGGACACGACGATAACAGTACCTCTAACGTCGTCGTCGTCGTCGTCGTCGTCGCCGTCGCCGTCGCCGCCATGAAGTTCGCTGAGCATCTGTCGGCGCACATAACGCCCGAGTGGCGTAAGCAGTACATCAACTATGAGGTGAGACCTGTCACACATCGTCAACAACACGAAAATAGATAAACAAAAAATAGACGAAAAGAAAATTTAGATTTCGTGCGAAGCTGCTTAACAAGCAAAACTTATTTGGTTTAAGACTAGATATGTCACAGAAGATCCTCTATTTCGAAACAAAATATGAGGCGAAGCAGGGCAAAGCTTAAATATGTATTTATTTAGTGAAGTAAACAAGCCATAATATGATCCATCATAACAAATAATCCATTAACCTATTCCGATGACAGAAAGCGTGAAATATGAATTTGATTGAACTGTTCCAAAGTGGTAGATATATCAATAGAGTACTCTATATCTAATCTCAATGAGTGGCTGTAGACGAAATCAGGCCAAATCCCAAATATGAATTGATTCAACTGTGCCACGCGATAGATAGATCATAATAAAAGACCAAGGGGAAAGTGAAATATTGCTGAATCAATCAATTCCCAAGGAAACGGGCATGACTAATTCTAAATATGAATTCAAACAAGTGATTTCTCCACTATCATGAAGAAAGAAATAATCCATCAATCAGTTCTCTTGGCAGAAATGAAGTGCTGAAATATCGACTTGATTGAACTGTTTCCAAATTGTAGATATATCCACAGAGTACTCTATTTTTAATCTTAATAAGTTGTAGATGTAAACTTTGGTGCCTAATCCAACTAAGTTATCATAAAAGAGAACATGTCAAAGCTAAAGATTGACATAGATCATTAAAAAAGCTCTCGAGAGTATTTCGAGAACTCTAATCGATAGATCGCACATTAGAATCTACAACTCGAACATCTGTGTTCTTTTCATATCATGTTATCTATATTACTATGCATTCGACAGGAAATGAAGGCCATGCTGTATTTGGCTGTCGAGGAGGCGCCGTCTGTGGACAGCGTGGAGGATGAGGTGCTCAAGCGGCACTTTGCCAACTTCGATGAGAACTTCTTTCACTATTGCGACAAGGAGCTGAAGAAGATAAATACGTTCTATTCGGAAAAGTTGGCGGAGGCAACGCGTAAATTTGCGACACTCAATGCGGAGCTAAAGTCAAGCATTGAGGAGTCCGAGCGTACGGCCAAGAAGTCCAAGGGCCAGAAACGACATGCCGCATTGCCAGACCGCAAAGCACGCGAATTAAAATTAGCTTTCAGCGAATTCTATTTGAGTCTTATACTGTTGCAGAACTATCAGAATCTGAATCATACGGGCTTTCGTAAAATACTTAAGAAACACGACAAGGTAAGAGACAGTTTTGCATGTATATAAAAGTTTGGGACTCATTCTAACCATGTGCTACTCAATTTCAATGGCAGCTGCTGCGCGTGGATAGCGGAGCCAAATGGCGTCAGGAATATGTGGAGGCATCGCATTTCTTTATCAATAAAGACATTGACAACATCATCAATGAAACGGAGACGACGGTCACGGGCGAACTGGAAGGGGGCGATCGACAGCGTGCGATGAAACGTTTGCGTGTGCCGCCCCTTGGCGAGCAACAAAGTCCATGGACCACCTTTAAAGTTGGCCTCTTCTCGGGCAGTTTTATTGTACTCGGCATTGTGGTTGCATTGTCTGCAATATTCCACGATATAACCGGCGAGAATTTGAAGGTCACGTTTCGTCTGTATCGCGGTCCATTGTTGATCATCGAATTTATATTTTTGATTGGCGTTAATATTTATGGCTGGCGCTCGTCGGGTGTTAATCATGTGCTTATCTTCGAGCTGGATCCCCGCAATCATCTATCCGAACAGCATCTGATGGAGCTGGCGGCCATATTTGGCGTCGTCTGGACACTGAGCATGCTCAGCTTTCTGTATAGCGCCAGCCTAAGCATACCGGCCTTTATCAATCCTTTAACATTGACACTGATCATGGTGATATTTTTGGCCAATCCTTTTCATGTGCTCCATCACGATGCACGATTTTGGCTGCTTCGCATCACTGGGCGCTGCATTGCTGCCCCGTTCTTTCATGTGGGCTTTGCCGATTTCTGGCTGGGCGATCAGCTGAACTCGCTAGCTACCGCGATCTTAGATTTTGAGTATCTCATATGCTTCTACTTCACCAATGGCAACTGGTCGGAGGCGGTGGATGCATCGATTTGTATGGAAAAGGATTTTATCGTGCGGCCAATTGTCAATTGTCTGCCGGCCTGGTTCCGCTTTGCACAATGCTTGAGGCGTTATCGGGACACACGAGAAGCCTTTCCGCATCTGGTCAATGCTGGCAAATATTCAACGACCTTCATGGTCGTCATCTTTGCCACGCTGAAAAGCTTTAACAGTCGTAAGAAGATATATATCTATCTCATTTATACAGCGTTTATTATAGCTCTTTCTCTTTTTATGTCATGTCAGCCAACTATGCTAGCTCCTATGATAATCCCTACACCTGGCTGTGGATAGTAGCTTCTATAGTTTCTTCCTGTTACTCATATACGTGGGACATCAAGATGGATTGGGGCCTGTTCGATAAGAATGCGGGCGAAAATACGTTCCTGCGCGAGGAAGTCGTCTACTCGTCCACAGTGCGTAGTTGAAAAGCTGATGAGATGCGAAATATATTTTGTATTTACATGGTTAATTTTTCATTCGACTAGGGCTTCTACTACTTTGCCATCCTAGAGGATTTGGCGTTGCGGTTTATCTGGGCACTGTCCTTCTATTTGACTGAAATGAAAATCGTTAGCGGCGATATAATGACCTCAATAACCGGCATACTGGAAGTCTTTCGGTAAACAAAAGTGCAAATCTTTCCTAGCTTTTTATCTTTTCTAATTTTTATATATAATTTCTTGACAGTCGTTTCGTTTGGAACTTTTTCCGCTTGGAGAACGAGCATCTGAATAACTGCGGTAAATTCCGAGCCGTGCGAGATATTTCAATCGCACCGCTTGATTCATCCGACCAGACGCTTATCTTGCGCATGATGGATGAGACGGATGGTGTGATCAATCGCTATACGAAAACGAACAGGCCCAAGCCAAAGAAGGTTAAAGATCCGGAGAAGCGTAGTCTGCTGCAGACACGCGGCTCGCTGCCCGATTTTGGCATTGATATTGATGGCAGTAAAAAGCTTTAAGATATAGTCCACCCCCACACACACACACCTCATGCGCTTCCTGAACGAACGGTTTATTTTTTTTTCCTTCTGTGGCATCTTTAACACTTCCTTCTTTCTTTCTTTTGTTGAATTTAGTTAAAGCTTACACACCTAGTACTAGTTACTAAGTACTTAAAGAGCAAAACACAAAAAAATAGCTAGAGTATAAGTTGAGCTAAACAAAACTAAAATAGCATTCCATAAACGCATCTAACAATGGACCAAACCCAAGCCCCACCCAAAAAAAAAAAAACAAAAAAAGAAACCAAAAGGTAAAAATTCCATTCATTCCCATAGAGCGGCAGTATTACTTAGTAAGTCCAGACCTAATACCCTAATTACAATCGAACATTGGCAAAACCCCAAATAGAAAAACATTCCTTTTTGAAAAAAAAACCAAAACAAAATAAAAAAAAAAAAACAAAGTAAGAAAACCTTAATTAAGATTTAGACAATTATTCTTTTTTTTTCTAAATAATAGCGTCATTTTTTTTGTACTTAGTTTCCTGGAGTTGTGCTTTTTACTATTATTATTATAGATTTTTAGTTCAATTGCAATTCGAGAAGCCTTTTTGATATATCAAATTATATTACAGTATATTTCTAGAATTCTTTTTCATAGCCTGTCTTTAGGCGTAGTCCATTGAAATTCTATACATTTTTGGTGGATTCTTTATAAATGCTTAAAAATAGACTTCAAAACGTGTAACGTTATCGTACCAAGTATGAAGTTTTAGTAAGCGGCCTTGTCTTAGCTTAAGCATCTAAAATTTCGTAATATCCCAATTTTTGTCCGTTAGATTGTTTTGCCCTTAAATGTTGTAAATAGCTAAAAGCATGACTATATTGAACAGAACTGAACTAAGAACTGTTAATAATAATATACATATACATATATAACCCCTATATACCATTTATACATATTTATATATATATATATATATATATACACACAACTCTAGAGCTCTAGAAACACGAATACCCATGCATATACATATACATATACATATATATAAATTGTATAAGTCGGGCTATGCCTCAAAGAGAACCCGAAACATAATTGAAACGAATTGTACGAAATAAAGACGCCAAGTTATAAGCAGCATAGACATTTGTTTATATGTATTCAGGAAACATTCTCCATTACGGCACAGACGAGGGCCGTGCCGCGCATTATCCAAAACTCGGGATCATTTCTACTGCGCAACAATATGGAGAGCACAAAGTTGGTGGAGTGGCCCGTGGTGGAGAGTACTCCGGAACGCTGTTGGGTCTTATAGAGAGGCGCCTCGTAGCGCACAATGGGACTAACGTCCAGGCACGGAAAAAAACGAACGACAGGCATGCGCGTGTATAGCTCACCGAAGCGAGCATCCGCCAAGCCACCCATGCTCAGATCCCAGCGAGCGGCCTCCACAAAGATGCCGTGCACATTGATCATCCCATCCGTGCACTCCTCCAGATTGCCATACAGACGAGCGTCCTAGAATGAAATAGAATGGCAATTTATATAGCTAATCACATGTAGATGGTGGCCGACTGTGCACGTACACTGGCAAGTGCATTGTGCAGCTCAAAGAAATCTTGCTGCACTAGCTCCAGTTCGACTATTTGGAAATCAATCTTCAGAGAATCGATGGGAAGCACACGACGTCTGGCATAGGTCTGTAGTATGCCGGTGAGGAACGATTGTGGGAAGAAAAAGCCACTGATCCAATAGGAGCGTGGTGCACCGTTCTCTGCCCAGTGCTGAATGAAGTCGATGCGTCGCTGGAAGTCCACAATGTAGTTGGGCAGCGGCTTAACGGACAGAAAACTGCGCTTGGCCCAGCTCGCAGGCACCATATTGGCCAAGAGTGCGCGGAACACCATCTCCAGATCCTCAGACATTACGACCAGACCTTTGATAGCCTTCGATAGATTGATCAAGCTGTCATGAATAATTCCCAAAGCAATGTTAAAGCGGTCTATCTCCTGTACCAAGACTGTTGTCAGCGATGGCATCTGACCCTTGCTGTCCATCTGGAATATACATCTTTTATGCGTTTGCGTCACGAGCAAAGCTAGTCTGAACAACTTACCACGGAGAGAGTATCGTGTATCGGTTCACGCTGAATTTTGTTGGTTAGGGCTGTCTGTATGCGCGCTATGATGGACTGGCAGAGATCATTCTCCATAGCTTGACCCTCATCGGCCGCGGACCGGGGCTGACCAAGCAGTAGTGTATTGATAAAGAACTCAGTTTCCTTAGTTTGGAACACAATGTTCGCGTTCTGATTCATGCCAAAGATCTCTGGATCCTCTAAAACTGGAAACCCTAACACAAATGTTGCATACTCCTTGAGCGTCTTGGCTTGAGGATCTCTATAATAAGTTTCGCCTCTACAATACTTATAGCCCGGCTCAATAATGCGCTCCGATGAAAAGATGGTTAATATTGTACGTAGTGTGCGCAGATCCCAGTAGTCCGTAACACGACCGCCCCACGTGATATCGCCATTGATATAGAGTATGGCCTCCCATGGTATATCGCCCATGACTTCACGATTGATAAAGAAGTCCAGAGTCTTTAGTCCACACTCGCGATCGCTCTCACTGAATTCGTATGTTATATTCCAGCCAAGTGGTCCGAATTTGCGACGCTCCAACAGAACCGCGTGGAACATGCACAATCCAAAAACGATTGCACGCCACTTACCGTTCTGGATGTGATGCTCGAAAAAGTCTACCTTAAGATCACTCAAGGCGCCGATGACATTCGCCTTGATGCCCTTGGGCGGCTCATTGGTAATCTTGACGGAATTTTGCAGCACACTAATTGGAAAGGATTGGGTGGGCATGGAGGAGAGAAACAAACGGAAGTCTGCGTGTGCCTTTGTTATGCCCAGAGTTAGATTGCGCACCACCGTCTCTAGTATTCGCATCCAGGAGGTGGCCAAGTGACAGTTCTGCAGAAATACCCAGTGACCCAAGCGCAAACTCTTGTCAATCAAACTCTCGGCAAGCGGACCCTGGCCCTGGCCCAATGAAATCGAGTAATACTTATCCGTAAACTTCATTTCTGTGGTAAACTTAATGAAACCAGACATGGGATCCGAACCGGTAGACAACACAAAGATCAATGGAGTTATCGACGAGGTGTCCAGATAGCTAAGGAGATAGCAAGCTTCTAGGTAAAAGAAACCTCACCTCTAGATTCTACTTACACTGTGCTGAGCTGTGTGCCCCCGGCGGAGACTTCTGTAAAGTATTTACCCACCGTCTCATGCAGGTAACTAACGACATTGAGTACGAAACGAGGCTTTCGGAAAGTAGCTATAAACATGAGCTTTTGGAAGTTCTTTAGTCGCTTATTCCACTTGTCCGTGGGCGGCTCATTGGTCTGGGCAAAATCAAACTCTTCCCTGTTGTCCTGCAGCTGAATAAAAAACGGAATGTTCAGTTCGTCGCTGAACTTTGAAAACGCATCCGGAAAATGGGTTTCCAAATAAATTGCTGCTTCCCAGTGAAACGGGCTAATTTTCAATCCGGGCGGCTGTACCTTGGGTCGCACTGCGCCAACAGGACCACGCGTTAGGAACCCAAATTCTTCATCAGTAACGCGACCTTCCTGGCGTTCCACAGACAATGCCAGTAGAAAACTAAATATTAATTTATGATTCTCAAATAGGCCACGCGATATATTGTCATATATAGCCCTCAACTCATCCACCATTAATGTGGAGATACGCATTTCTACGCTCATGGCAGGATGATCAATACGTAGGACATTACAAAAGACCTGCGTGAAGTACTTCAGACTGTACTGATACATGGGATCGATTTCGGCAAGGCCAGCGACCACAAAGTAGAGAATGGCACCACGAGACGATAGGATGCGATATCGTTCACGCGAAGCCGTTATAATCTTCTCAGTTTCCTCTGTATCGATGAGACGTGCCGCAATGATCAATGAAGTTTCCTGAAAAAATAAAAATAAAAATAAAAATAGAGAGAGTTTTTAGTACTTCCACTGAAATGGGCTATCCCCAAAGTGATATTGTTAGCATGTTTGTAAGAAGGAAAATGTATTTGTTTAGTAAAAAGGATTTTTCCCTGGTCCTAGTATAAAATTATAATATGAATATGTGGCAGAGAGCTAGAGAATTGAAGGGGAATTCATATTTTTTCCTATATAATGTCGATTAAGGCCTCACCTTGGCATCATTTAGTGTTTCAACCAGTTCCTCATCATCCAAGATGTTGCCCTCAGAGTTGAATAGAAGCTTGAGCACTTTATCCTCCAATGCCAGCAGCTGCTGCTTATCCGCATTGATCTTGACCACTAAATCGTTGCGTTGAGCCTCCATGACTGGCAGCTCGATAGCTACAATATCGCTGTGGGTAAGGGATATAATATTTAAGTAAAATTCAATCCAATCTTTGGCTACTTACGCCAGCAGCTGATCTTCGAGCCCGCTTTCGGTGACTAAAAAGTTAACTAATGTCACATTGATGCAAACCTCGGGCAGATAATGCGGATTGGGCAGCTTTGTGGTCATGTACAGTTTGAAATTATCATCATAGTCAATGACTTGATCGCCCAATTTAAGATAGACCCGTCCCTCAGACTTGTACGTCTCGCGTTGAAGTATTGGACGCAGTGAGGGATCTATGGTCTCTTCGATTTCCTCTAGCAGCACTGGGTTACCCTGCCGTACACTGTTCTCTAGCACCCGCATCATGCTGGCGTCTGTCATCTTGATGACCTGTAGATTGTTGGCTTTCTCCATGTTGCGTATCCAGCGATTGGCCTGCTCCTGTGGATCAATCATGAGGGCCCAGCGCAAGGCACGCGTTGCATAGATACCATTTTCAATGGATATGTTATCCTTGGGCAGACCGTCGACATTCCATTGACGCATCTCGTAGGCATCGCCTAGGACCTTAAGCAAATTGAACTCCTTGCTGGAGGGAATGGTGAACTCACGACATTTGTCCACCCACATTTGGCTCATATCGCGACGATATTGATTGGAGAAGGCGCCCAAATAGGCAACACAGGCAGCAGCGACCAGCACATCTCCAGGTACACAGCCCAGGTCAGCCGTAAGTGACTTCACAGTTTCACGCCAGCGAACCTGTTCATCGGCCAAAGCAGAGGTGAGTCTTCCGGCCCGATTGATACGACCATACGTGAGGTCCACATTGTCCTGTATGGCCTGAAACTCAAGCTGTTTCTCCTCCAGACTGTCGCGTAGCGATTGAATCTTGGCTTCGACAGCTGCGAGCTCCTTTTGCTTTTGGCGTAGCACCTTCATGACTTCCTTGAGCTCCGCTTCGGCTGCCTCTTTTCGCTTGATCTTTGGCTCAACCACTTTGTAGACCTTGTTGAAACTGTCCATGGCAATGACCCACATGCTCACAGACTTAGCTACTTTGGATACTTTCTCAAATTTCTATGAATATGCAAATGACCTGAACTCAAACTGTATATTTATTATGTGATCCTGACTCTACTCACAGCGGGCACAAAATCTTTATGATCGATGTACTTTTTGACCTTCTTGACGACGTCATCCTTCATGTGTTCCTTGTCGTATTCGAAGAGCCGCTTGATAAAGTTAATGTCTGCCATAATGGCCTTGGCTGCTGCCCAAGTGGGTCTAGCGATACCAATAAATTAGCCCGATTTATTTTTTATATATTATGTGTTCTACTTACTTTGCGCCCAATAAAATGCAAACAGCTTCCATGCAGAACTGCACTAAGGCTGGCGGTGTAGTAAACGACTTCAGTTCATTGATGTCGGCCTTTGTGAGACCTTTGAGTGCCTCCTCGGAGTCGCGCAGCGCTGGCATGGCCGTCTCCAAATCCTTGCTGGCATCTGCGGATATGGCCTGGGCAATGGCTGCCTTCTCTTTAGCGTTGGCCTCATCCTCCATGACGCCTTGCTTGACAGCGTCCGCCTGTTTGGTCTCCTTGGTTAGGTTATCCACCAAGGACTTCATCATGGCCGACTTCTCATCCAGCTGAGGCACCATAACTTCCAACTCCTTTTGCATTACCGCAATCTTGAATGCGTACACAAAAGTTTTATTGATACCATATGAACTCTATCCAATTTAAATGCGATTCACATACCACTTCATTTGTCTCCAGCAATTTGTTAAGACCGCTGGCAATGCGCTTGCGCTTGGCTACAATCTCCTGTGTCTTAATCTTGAGCAGAGTCTCGTAGAGCTTAAGCAGCTCGAGATAGCTACTGGGTGTGGTATAGTAATGCCGCTTCATCTCCTTGTAGAAACGCACAGAGGCATCCTCGACAGTCTGCAGGTTACATTTACTTAGACCTTGAGAGCATTCGAATGAAACGTTCTCAACGTACCTTATGCATAAAGACAGTGGTGCTAGCCAGAGCCACCCTTTCGTTATAATTGGGCGCTATCTTTGTGAGCAGTCCTAGGGCAACAGAGTACAAGGCTTCAGTGGGCCAACTGGTGAACCAGTCGATGGTGGTGCAGTTGACCAGCGAAGGGAACATGCGGCAACGTCGTCGAAATGCATCACCCACTGGACTCATTGACATGACCACATGCAGATTGTTTCTCACACGATTGATGAAGAACTTGTATATCTCATCGCGTGGGCAGCTCTGTCAGCAGATTGCTTAGATTGGATATGTTCGATTGGCCTAAGATTATTTAGTCATTACCTCGTCCTTTTTGGAAGCATTGCAGGATTCACGGGCGTCCAGTATAATCTTTTCAAACTCATCGCCTTCAAACAGATTTGGCACCTCGCCAGAGTTGAGAATATTGTTGATGTCCTCCAGGAATTCTTCCTCAACGATTTGGCTGTCAATCAGCAGAAATGTAACTGGCTGGTTATCAATCTAAATGGCATCATCATATGGAAGTTGTATAATTAATAGCATTTTAGGATATACGACTTGGCTTATTACTTACTCCTGCAATACGATAGAGAACGCGCAGATCCTCGTGGAAGCTATTGAGATCGTAGTTGCGTCTCATCTCAATCTGCCAACAATTGTATTCGTTAACGTGCGAGGCCAGTCGGGTCAGGGATTGTTTGCCCATGCCCGCAACACCCACTAGCAAGCCATTTCCTCGATCGCTACGTAGTAGACGAGCCAGCCGCACCGTATGCTCCATAGCATCTTGAAAAAGTATCAATTTCATAGACTTGCTCACCGCCGTAGAGTTGTAGTCGGTGATATAATCATTGAGTACGCTCTCAAGTTTGACATGATCCTTGACCTCTTCGTAAATGCGCTCGTTTTTCGGCTTGCCAAAGACCATAAAATCACCAAAGAGGATAGGAGGCTCGTCGAGTCCGACGACGTCCCGATTGAAATGATATAAACACACATCGTGCATCAGTTTTCGGAAGATCGCTTTGTCCTCCAAGTTGATGAGACGATCGTGGAAGACGCGTGTCGTCTCGTGGTAAAACAGACGCAACACCTGATTCTCCAAATTGTAGTACATATTATTCGCCTGCAATATGCCCTGTATGCACTTCGACAAGTCACGCAAATTGAATATATAATGTGAGCGGTCTGGTGTGGGCAGCATTACTTGCGTAACACGCATATAGACATCCACGCAGGCGTTAACTATCGACTCTGACAGCGCGCGAATGGCGGACGAGAACGTTTGCAAGAAGCCCATCAGGATGCCGTTGAAGATTTGCGATAGTGTCTCCTCATTGGGCTTGGGCAGCGAAAAGAGCGCAAAATGTCGCACAAAACGTGGCGTCAACTGATTGCGTCCACCACCTGGAGGAGCACAAGCGCAGCCCAACACCACATCCAGTATATCCTTCCAGAACAGCTTCTCACGATCGTAGAAGCCCTTAAAGTCCAAGAACTGTCTGCAATTGGGTGGGTTGCCTTACATATTCGATTTGGTCAATAAACTTTAGCTCCACACAAACCTGAGCAGCTCTATGGCCGGCTGGCTGCCATAGGTGTCCAGCTTGGGCATATTGACATCATCAATGAAGATAATAACCGTTTTGCCAACTGGCGCCCCCAGCTGCGTCTTTTTACGCTTGTCCAATGGCCCCTCGATCATTTCCTGTGTGCGCATGCTGCTCGTTTGAGCCGAGAAATTGAGCACCACAGGAATGACCTTACCCTCGGCGAGTCGCTTCATGCAGCTGATGGCCAGCACAGTTTTGCCTACGCCCGTCTCCCCGGTAACCATGACAGGGAAGTTGCGTTTGAACAGCAGATCAGCCACATAACTACAAGAAATTGACAATTACTAGAAATCGCTCTCGAACTAGTTCTATTGACGGTAACTAACCCGTATTTAGTGGTATCCACGGTTGGCACCTGCATATCATAGTAGGATATATCCGAATTAAATACAAACGTGGGCATTATTTCATTCCAGTTACCCCAATCGTTTTTCTCTAAGTCGACACGGTAGTTCCACAAGGAGCGTGGGGGCATGCTGAGTTATAAAAGAAAATATTAGAGGGATTTCTTGAAAGGATTTACTTTTAAGCTACTTACTCCATATTTGGATGCACGGCCATGGCCCTGCCCCAAAAGTCCTCAAACGATAGTTTTTCCGCATCTTTTAAATTGGACGCAATTGCCCAGAGCACACACCAAGTGAAGATCTTTGTAAGCAGATTCTTGGCCGGCTCAGCGCCTATTGAGTGCCAGTTCACGCCCTCAAGTTGTGAGGAGATCAAGGAGCAGCAGAGCCGAACTTTGGAGCCGAGTACTTGATGTATGGTGTAGGAGGCGCGTTTACGTTCGATCTTTAGCGCCTTCTCAAAGTAACCAATAAAGAGCTGATAAAGAAACTCAGATAGAGTTGCGTTTAGCTTTTTGCCCATATCAACTTCGCGCCAGGTATCAACAAGCGGAATCCAGCCAAGATCTCCGGGATCAACATACACCATGCCGCAACGAGAAACTGTGGCTGGCGAAGCCTGCAGCAGGTCCTGCACTTCGAAGAGCATGTGTATCCAAGCTGTTAGCTTGATTCGCTCAGAGTTAGCTAGACACAGCATCTTATTATCGTCGAGGACAGTGTTCAAATTCTCAATCCACACAGCATCTACGGGGCCATCGCACATGATCCACTGATGAATTTCCTCTGTGTGAATACGAAGCCAAAAGTGATGCGAATTACACAGAATTAGGTACTTAGCTACTTACCCTCCACTAGAGTCGCCACGCGTACTGCAAGACCTAGTAGACCGTCTTGCCACTCCAAGGTCTTGGGATCCACATAGCCGTATAGCTCGTTCATGCTAACTGCCTTGGGATTCATTGTCTGTATGACAACGGGTCGAAAGTTTGGATCTGGCACCTCATTTTCGAACAGATGGGCCAACGCGAACTCCAGTGCGTGCAGCACCACCGACTTGCCACCACCCGTGGGACCCACTGTCATGACGCCCCAACGCACGCACATTGTCTCATATAGCTGAAGGCACTTTCGTATGGTCGTTGGCACTGCTTGTAGATTCTTTTGTCGTAGACCAATTCGCAAGCTCGCCTCTAAGTGAGGATGCTGCGAGTCGGGCAAATCGACACCCGGAAACAGATCGCTCAGTATGCCACGGAATAGTACAGCATCATCGGCCAAGAACTTGGGTATATTCGAGTCACGCAATGCGGCTATAAGTGTTATATCCTCTCGCTGATTGGGAGCGGCTCGCTTCAGAGCGCCAGCCATTACCAGCACAGATTTGACGGCTCGCATACCGAAATCGTAGTGATTCTGTTGGCTGAGCTGCTGACTGCACAGCTGGTACATTTGCACCATTTTGCGTGCCAATATCTTGGGATCCTCGAAGCCCTCCGAGTACAGAATAACCTCAGAGATGAGTGCATAGTCAGGCACCATCATAGATATGGGACGGAAGAGTGCTTTCAAATTGTCCGGTAGCTCCGTTCGGCCAGCATAACCCGGATTCATGGTTATAAAGACGCAGCATGAGTGATTGATCTTAATTTCACGACCTTCAAACATGAAACTACCAAGAGAGAGTGATAAAATTAACAGACCAAAATAATATTTTATAGCAAGAACAAAAGGGGTCTTTAGATTTTCTTTAGACCACTTTTGAGTTTACTTTAGGACTCTATGAAAAATTGAAAGTTTTCTTAGCATATTGTATTCGTGAATAATTTTTAAGTAATTCTTTGAATTATACTTTGGGTTTTCAAAATAAGTCCATAAATTATTATTTCTAATGGGATAATCATGGCAATAACCAAAGAACTCCGGGTATTATAATGAATACCTATGGAATTCTTTATGTCAATTTGTTTTGAGGCTTAATAGAAATTTTTTGATATCGGAAAGCTCTTCAAAATATTACAAGAACAAAGTTCCTTGTTTACCTCGATTGGCTTACCGTTTTACTTTCATGACCTTCGCCGTACGTATGGTAATCAACTGCTGGGCAATCACAGACAACACCTCGATATCAATGCGATTAAACTCGTCAAAGCAGCACCAGGCGCCGCATTGTGCCAAGCCAGAGAAAAAGCGACCCATCATCTTGTAGTCGAGACCGTCCGAGCAATTAAATACAACGCACTGTTTCGCCAATGCCTTGGCCAAATCTTTGGTGGTCTCCGTTTTGCCCGTACCAGCCGGACCCGCGGGAGCACCACCCAAGTCCATTTGAAAGGCTCCCATCAGACAGAGGTAACAGCGATCCGTGAGTGGTGTCAGCACCAACACACCTCCAGCACCCAAATACTCATAATAATAGGGTATATTAGCAGCGGCCATGCGAGAGAAAACCGCCTCGGTCTCGACGGCCCAATAGAAGCGCAGCATCTTCAGCCAATTGAAGTCGTTACTGACGAGCGAGAACAGAAAACAAGTCTGTGCAATCAATTTTAGCTATTTCTTATTAAATTCAATGCAAAATTAATAAGGCTTCAGCTGTATATATCTCTAGCTTGAGCGTACATAAGACCGGACAGATTGGTAGACAGTCATGACTAAGTCGATTCAGTTCATCGACCTAATCAAGAATATATCCACTCTATGATATCGGCCACGTCTACTTTACCGAATGCTTTTCATGAAATACTTACGGACTGCAGACAGTCTTTTCGATCAGCATGCGCACTGAGTCCTTGGCATGGACGTCGATCGTGATTAGCGCACAGAGGATCTTTCTTAATAGTGATGTAATATTTTTGCGTGTGAGGGCCGCCAGGGCGCCAAGATCTTGCAGACATTTCACCTCAAATTTGGACATTTTGTCAACGATGCTGACCGCTGTTGCATCTTTGGCCTCGAAGATGTGATGAATGTCGGCGGCCCATTGTACCTGGGAGACAGTAAGTACAATCTGATTGGGATGATCTTGAAACCATTCGTCGCGATCCTTGGCTGCATAGCATTGATAGCCAAAGCGCATGTAGCGCTTCACAGAAACAAACATCGCGTCCTCCACCTTGCTGAGCCATTCCTCGACGGCTCCTCGCGCCTTTAGACCTTTGCCGAACTGTAGCTTCTCGCCCTCGGGCGATAGGAAGGCAATTATATCATTTGTGGCTATCATTTTGCCATCACCACCTTCCTTCTGGCCGAACTCAAGGCGATAGATGGCATCGAAACATTTGCGCAAGTGCGGCTGCACAGCTTGAGGTATTCTCGTCTGGGCGAGAATTTCGAGCAGCTCGTCGTTAGACAAAAAGTAGAATCTGGGCAACATAGTTGAAAGAAATCCGCTCGGCTTAGGTGAACTACGGAGTGAGTTAGTCTCTTACCTGGGAAATACCACACGCTTTACTTCCAAATAGGCTTCCAGCCCACGTGATATAGCATCGAGTAAGCGATTGTCCTCCACCAGCATATCGTAGACCTCTGTGCTAGACATGGTGGGTAGAGCTAAAGCCACCTTCTTGGCATGACGCACTATTTCTTTAAAGTTCTTGTCCACCTGATTGAACATTTTGGCTTCGTGAGGAAGCTGGCGTTGTATGTCAGCTGAGGCAAAGATTGCCTCCAAATAGATCCAAGCGCCCTGGCAATCCATCCAAGCCTCTAAGGTTAGAAATAGTTTGACTAGCGTCTAACTAATTGAGCTAATTGGCTTACCAAAAGTCTTGCCAAATTGGTCCAGAGCCGTTATCCACTCGTCCACGCGTGCTTTGATGGGCCCCACGAATTTGGATGCGGCAATGGTATTGATATTGACATTGGCATCATCTAAAACCGCCTGCAACTCCTCGGTGCCGGCTAGAATGAAAACATCCTTCTGATCATGATGCGACACAATGAAGAGCTCCGTCTCTTTCCACATGGTCTCAATGCCCTTGAGCATGTTCTCCAACTGCGTCTCTCCAGTTGCCTGCGAGGAGATTTGCATAAGACTCTCGGCATTGTTTTCGTCATCGAAGGCGTGTGACTCCTCATAGGTGGAAATCTTGATGTTCGGCTCCTGAAAGAACTTGCGCCCCAGCAGCTCCTCAATCTCCGTCCAATGGCGCTGTTAGAAGGATTATATTAATATCAAGAGGTCTGCATTCAATTCATAGTCATATTCAGTTTGCCTACCGCACGAAGATTGGGATTACGTAGATAACCAATAACTGGCAATTTCTCCTTAAAGTCTTCGGCAGATTTGTGTAGTACGGGCACTATATCATTTTGTGGCAAATACTTTTGGAACTGCAAACAGTTCTTGATGGTTTTTGCATTCAGGTCCAACATTTCAGCAACGGGCAGAGTATTAAAGTCGGCTGCTAGCCAGGTGCTAAGCGCCTCCTCCCAGTCTAATAATGTCTTGTATAGATTTTGTCGTTGACGTATGTTGTAGAAACCCTCGTCCATCTCCTCATACATGGTGAGATCAATCCGGAACTCCTTCTGGTATCCGATCAGCTCATCAGCTCGCTCTCGGCACGTATTCATCCGGCTCAGCAGATCTTCTAGTTTGTTATTAACTTTATTGCGGTCTGATTTGCTCTGTGGACGTGGATAGGAATTCAATTGAAATGTGCGAATGTGAGATATCCTTTTTAGAGAACACAAATGCCAGAAAAATAAAGAACCCCCCTTAGCCAAGTATTAAGTGTCATGACATTACCTAAGACCCCAACTTAATACATTTATAGGTGATAGCAAAGAAATTAATCTGAGTGTCCAAGGGTCACAACTTACTTCGAGCAGCCATTCTTCGATTGCCTGGATAGCTACTTCGTGTATATCCTCCTTAAGAGCGCGAATATCGTCCTGCATAGCTTCATCCAGCTGATTGATAAAGTCCTGACGTTTCTCCAATATCTCGGAGAGTGTTTCTTTTGTGCGATTCAGATAGTCCTCGGTGTCCATGTAGTCTTCTTTGCGTTGATCGTCAATGGGTATGTTAAAGTCCTTGATGATCAGCAACAAATCGTGTATATAGTCAATAACGAGGAATAGTTCGTCAAGCTCTAAATGGCAATTGTCAAGGAAGCGTAGGTGTTGGACCAATAGAAGTGTTGTGTCTGGCTCATAGCCGATGCGTCCATAAAAGTCCTGGGCATCCTCATATAGCTTCGTAGTCTCTTCCTCGGCCAGTTGTGGTAAGTAAATGGCTAAAACGCTTTGCAAGCGCTGACAAACAGGCGTAACCGCATCCTTAAATCCGCTCTGACCCAACTTCAAAAGACCCAGATATACATGATCTAGAATACCGTCCAATGCTCTTAAATTGTTGCAATAACGATCGCAATAGTTGCGCAGTGCCGTGAGGTCTGAAAAGAGTGCAAAGTTTTAAGAGGAAATGGAAGCGATTCAGTAAGGGAGTTGATTTGAGCTTCTTCACATCTAAGATCTCTCTTTCATTATGCCCACCCTTTGTTGGATATGCACGCAGGCAAAATTCTTGCACTTCATTTCGATTTGCCTATAAGCTATATTCTCTTACTACTCTGCATACATTCATATACAAACATTACAATATATAAATCCTCGAATCCCCTTTGCGCTCGTTGTATTTGATGCACACTAAATTGCGTTATGCTTTGCGCTGTGGACTCAATTGTCTCCAAATTTGCTTTGTCCTTGTGCCTGTGCACTGTGGTACAAAGCATAATCACATTGAGTTACAATTTATTAGCACATGCATGTAACGTAAAGAAAAATTAACAAGGCAAATATTGCATAAAACATAACATATAAAATCAAGTATAATTGGAATATGCATTTTAAAAGAAGAAAAAGTATGGGCTTTAACTGTTAACTTAGCAACATGTGAATATGTTAATTTAATAAACTTAATTAATTTTACTCCATTAACAGTTTTTTAATGATTCTTTTGCGCGTTTCTTTTTCATAAGGCACTGCTCTTTGATTAAGAAATAGGCATTATCACATAACATAGCAACGCAAAATATTCGCATACTAATACCACTGTGCAGTGTAAAACTAAGAAATTGGCGCACAAATAACTGTAATCACCAGTGCTGCTTTTGTTAGTGCCGTTAATGTCGCAGCGAGAGCAGCTTAAAAATGCTGCAATTTCCTCAGTTTAGTGTTGACCGCGGCTGCAAACGCATTGGATATTGTGCGAATTGTGTGTGTGTGTGTATGTGTGTAAATTAATTGTGCAATGACATACATATGTATGTACATATAATATGCTCTTATGAATATGTGTATGTAGTGCAATGTAATTGTGTGACGCATTTTAAATTTAAATTTTCTTGTGCACTTGTGTGCAATGTATGTATGAAAGATGTACATATTTGAAAGAGAAACCATAATTCCGGCTGTAAAATTTGTAGTCGAAGAGTAGGAGAACTGGCATTAATAAAAAACACCGTGAATGCGGTTCAGTAAAATTTGAAAGATGAATTTAAAGAGAAATGCGGAAAATTTTGGCTTTAACGACAATAAGCCTAATTTTTAATTCTATCAAGACAATGATGCCAAGCATAAGGAGATTAATCTGCGGACTTCGCTCCTCAGCATTCCAGAGTCTCGATCTTAACCCAATTGAACAAAAGAAAAGAGTGGGAAAACGGGATAACACAACTATCTTATAAGAGTAGCAAAATATCCCTCTTGAATACCTAATAAAGTTTGCGCATTCTATGAAACAACGCCTCCAACATGTGTTAAATGTTACGGGTGATCAAACTCTATATTATAATTAGCATAATATCTTGTTAGTTTTAAGCTAAGAACGATTAAAGTACTGTATAAAAATTTATGGACAGCTTGAAAAAACTAATTCTAGTTTTTGTTGTTTATTATACCCTGATCCCATTGAAAATGGGAAATCAGGTTATAATGGTTGTGTTCAAATGTATGTATCAGGCAGAAGAAGGCGTGACGACCCCATAAAGTATATATATTCTTGATCAGGACGACAAGCCAAGTCGATTGAGCCCTGTCCATCCGCGTGGATCTCAGCATCTATAAGAGCTAGAGACTTGAAATTAATTGAAATAGCACGCGCAGGTCAAGTTTGTTTCAAATATTCGATAACTATTCGCATTTAATTGTTATCGAATAAAAACATGATTGAAATGCACTTAATAAATTATATCTCGGACGTCTTAGGAGTCAGAGCCTCCAAATTTTGTATTTAATTTTATGTATATTTTATGCAATTTTGATTTTTGAACTAGGGAACTAGGGCCATTATGTGAAGGCGTTTGCATCTCAACCAAGACAATAGGATATGTAGATCATATGCTAAGAGTTTCATTAAAATCCATTAAGCAAAGCAGAAGTTATTAAACAACACGTTACGTAAAAATTGTGGGGGTTCGAATTTGGTGTGGTAATGTCAGTTTTTATTTGTATTTTTTTAATACCTGATACAAACTACGGAAAATATTAAAAAACGCAGATAGGACTGGGATCAGAGTATCTCCTGTTCGGGGCACCCCGAATAGAGTTTTCTTACTTATTTTATTATGTTATTTAAGATTTATTATTAAAGAATTCAGCTTTATAAAAATGTTCGTTAATTTGAATTAAATGGCTATTATTTTCGTTCATACATATATGTACATTTGTATGTATCTACAAATATAGCAATGTATGTGTGTCGGAAGACGTATTTTTACTTCGTACGAGCACGAAGTTAAAAAGGAATTCTTCATTGAGCTTAGCCAAAGTCGAGCAAAAACAAATTCGTCCGGTGCTACCCCAATATATATTTTTTTTCATTCCATGGACGAATATAACAACAAAACAGAAACACGGAAATTTTTTTCCATTTGCATGCATACAAGTGGTCAGTATTAGGACGAGGACAGAATATGCGGAAAGACAATCTTTTGCTGTTTAATCTGTCATATGATATGTACGGTGTGTATGATATGTGTGGTATGTATGATGTGTATGCTATATATGCTACCCATTATAGTATGATATATATTTATGTATATGATATGTATAATAGGTATGATAATGTTATAAATAGTAAGTCTGATATATATGGTGTGTATAATTTGTATGGTATGTATGAAATTTATGATGTGTATGTATGTATATGCTCTGTATAAGTTGTATGGTGAGTATATTATTTATATATCTTAATGTAAGCTTCGTTTTTAGCCATTCAAAAATGATCAGTTGTTGTGTTTGCCAAATTGTTTAGCTTCTATACTACCCTCATGTTAGCTCTACCAGGACAGACATAGGTAATTCCTTAATATTCTTACATGTTCGGTAATGTCTGACTAGATGATAGCTTCTACGGGATAGCTATTTGAACTTATAAACGGATGCATTAACTTGTTCAATTTTAAACGCTTTCTACATATTCTTACCTCTTTCGCTACTAATATCTTCAGGATCTGTGGTGGCATCAATCTCATAGTTCTCCCGAATTGAATGAAAGCGTGCCGTATAAAGATGTGCCATATCGTATGCAGAACGAATCATCATAAAGATATTTTTACTGTAAGAATATGATTGAAGATAATGATCGACTTAAAGATAATACGGATTAAGTTTACCGGTGATAATTGAACTTGACGTCTTGTTTCAATAGAAAGGTCAATTCTGGCGCTGTCGTATACAGACATTCCTCCTGACGGCCCATGATCGATGGCCTAAATGAAATTAAACATCAGATTGGATTAGACCAGGCAAATTATATATATGCACATAAATGCCTACGCTGTATATTGGGTAAATTCCGTATCTGTGGTGAAGGGCGGTATGTCTAACACAGTTTCCAAGATTAAACCCGTAATACGCTGGAAGATCAGTTTCAATACATCCTCCAAGGGCTCCACCTCAATACGATCGGGCAGGAGACGCAGCTGTGCCAGAAAGAATGGACTTTGTGGTGCATTGGGTGGACGAGGTTTCTCGATCTTTGTATCCAGGCGATCGTGACATGTAATTTCCGCTTCCGTTGGTGCCACTTGGCAGTGTTCGTCGAACGCACGATGCAGTTCATCATAGCTCTGAATGGTTACACGATAGAGCGCTTGATACAACATCATATCACAATAGGTGAGAAAGCTGACAATGGACGAGAAGAAGGTGAGAAGTTTGGTAAGGATGAGACAGGCAAGAGTACAACTAGAGAACCGCTAGTAAACGATTCCGTTAAAAGAACACGCACTTAAGATAACAATGAATATAGCCGGGATATATCATTATCTACTTTTGACTTAGGCTTAATCGATGTAAAGAGTTCCTAGCTCTTAAATTCGAACTCACTTGGTTAAAGTCTTGCAAAAGGCTCGCTTCCGCGCTCTATCCATAAAGCTGTGCGCCTCTCGCATTTTCTTGACAGATGGATAATAATTGATCTCATCATCTGGATAGAAGCCACGTGCCATAATGGCCTCCGTGCATGAACGGTCTGTGGGGTTAAAGGAAATGACATATTTACCGGGAAAGTCTCTATAAATATAGTTCAACTATACACACATAAGGATCTGCCCACAAAAGTTCGGAATTCATGGAAAAGATAGTTGAGCTGCTCGTAGATGCGCATATGGAGCTCCAGAAAGTAGAAGGGATGCCATTCCTCGATATTTTCAGTATTGACAAAGCTGAGCCGCTCCAGGACAACAAGGTCGGATCGCATCCGAAGAACTGCTTTGGCCAATTGCGGTATAACGATGAATAGATTATTCTGCAAATGGTTGCGGGCGTAGTTCAATTTGCGCCACTTTATTGTCTTCTCCCACACTTTGAAACCCTTCCACAATCGGAAGATGGAGAAGGTGCGTATTTGAATGATACTCAGGAATTGCTGGAATTCCTGTTGCCATTGATTGAGCGGCGTGAAGAAGTTCTCGGAAACGCGCCAATAGGTAACGCCATGTCGGGTTACCGTATAGTAGGGCTTATAAATATTTAAATTGCAATATTCCACCTCACGTAGACTGTACGGGGTAAAGAATTCGCTATCCTTTGGCAGCATATAGTCCAAGTATACAAAGCTGTCGTCCTTCATGGCGCGCATTCGATTTATGACAAGATTCAGGTCGGGTATTAGTGAGGCGCCCGTCTTAATCTGTAAGCCGCTCTCGGTAGATAACTTGGATGGGCGTTCCTTGAAAACCGTCCGCAGGCTCCGCTGTCGACTTTTGCGCAAGAGGGATTCCCTTGTCACGCTGAGGTTTGTGTTGACACTTATGCGTTGCTTCTCATCCTTATCCTTGTTCTTATCTTGGTTTTTATCCTTATCCTTATCTTTGCCTTTATCCTTGTCCTTGGCCTTGGTCGTGTCCTTGTCGGTTTCATCGGGACCATCTTTCTTTTCGGTGTTGACGATCTCCTCCATTCTGCACGCTTAACGGAACGGGCCAACAATTTGTCACATATATTATTCTGCTGTGTAGAGGAATCAATTATATATATAGATATATATATATATATAATTGATATATCTATATATATATAGAAAATACTTTGATAGGCTTCGCCTGGCAACTGTTGAATTTGTTGCTTGTTTTCTATCTTTGCCAAGGCAACGGCTACAAACGCATCCAGTTCGGTGTCATGGCAACCATTAAGCTAAGCTTGCAGCTAACTATTTCGAAAGAGCTTTTTTCTGACATATCTGTAAGGCACAGAGTTTATATTATGGATATATTCCAAAGACTTTAAAGATAATTTTTTTAGATAGTTTATTATTGTTATAACAAACTGTTATATGTAGGAATATTAATATCTATTTTTTATCAAAAGGACTCTCGAACTATTTGTTCTTCTTATTTAATATTCAATTCATAATTTGATAATTTGTTTAAGAAGGAATATACACCTTCTAAATAGGCAATACCCGCAATAGACGGTGATGTAAAAGTTATATATTGGTATGCCCTGAACCCATTGAAATGGGTCTGTCTATCCGTATGTGTGACCGCGTCGATCTCAGCATCTAGAAAAGCTGCCATTTTTGTTCTTAAATGTTTTTTAAATATGGTAATATAAATAAATTTAATAAATAATGGTAATAAGTGGCGATGTTGGTTCGGGTCTTGGTGGCCTCATGTCGGTTTTTCTTTGTCATTATTTTTTATACTTTAAGCTTGGTCAAATATTAAAAAACACAGGACGGGGTTCAGGGTATCTTCCAGTTGGGCACTCCGAATAGAGATTTCTTACTTATTTCGACTTGTTTTATATATATAGATTTCCAATTCACAGTTTCTAGCTTCCATTGTGAACTCTAATCGCCTATTATTAGTAGCGCAAAAAGATCTGTGTACATAATATGGGAGAGATGCCTTCTCGAGTGAGTGTTATAAATTTTAAATAATCTAGGTTCAAAATTGTCGAAATGCTTTTGGCTTTGGACATTACATAAAACCAATATACTCCTTTCACATCGTGAGCGAGTATGCAAATTCTGCCTGCCCAAGTTTTTCGCAAATGTTCTTAACAGTTATTCAAGTCGAACTCAGTCTTACCTTTAATTTGAAGCAGAATCAGTTGAGTAAAACTTTACAAAGCTTTCGCGAAAAGCTTTCAATCAGCTAATGTGAATGGAATATGGAATTTCGAAAATGCGCTGCTGCAGTGCGTTGCGGCTGCCGCGTTGGCCCATTTACTTCCCGTCGCAGAGGAAAAAGGATACGTTTCGAAAAAGCTTTTGCCGGCATTTTGCCACAGTTGGTGGCATTTGCAACGGATTGTTGCGCCTGCTGCTCTATTCAAAAAAGCACACACACTGCCGACAGCCGCCTGACCTTCAAATTCGCTTCGCTGCGGCGCATAAGCTTTTCAACTTTCGATATCGAAAGCGAACAGCGATGCTGCTGCTGTTGCTGGCGCTGCCACTGCCACTGCCACTGCCGCTGCCGCAGTCGCTGCTGCCTATGAAGATAAAAAAATCGCATAAGGCACAGAGCACGGCAGTGGCAAAAGCTCAAGGTGAAAGCATCATCAGCTGCTATTGCTAGTGACAGCGACAGCGGCGTCGGCAGCGACGGCGACAGCGACTGCGACAGCGACTGCATTCGGATACCGATTCGGATGCCAATTTATGTTTCGGATTCGCTCAGCGTACGCGTCGTGCGTTTGCCGAACCTGCAGCGGCGGCAGCGGCATCGTTCAGGCGGGTCTCCAGCACGGCCGCTGCGTCCGTGGCCAAATAGTCGTTGGGTATACGCCGCGATGTTAAGAGCCGCGAACGCGAACGCAACGTTTCGCAGCAGCACGCAGCAGCACGTAGCAGCAGCAGCAACACCAGCAGCCGCCACACGCAAAACGCAGCACGCAGCAGTTAACCGTTGTTGAGCCTGTAGAGCCGCAGAGGCTGTCGCATAGCCGTTGAGCGCTTGCCCTGTGTTAGTAGCCATCGTCGTCGCAGCAGCCAACGCAGGCGTTGCCGTCGCCGTAGTCGTAGTCGTCGTCGTCGTCGTCGTCGTCGTCGCCACTGTTATCGTCGTCGTCGTCGTCGTTGTGGTTGTCGATTGCAATGCATGGGAAAGAGGAAGAACGCTCATTTGCATAGCGCCTATCGGTTCTAAGGAAACTAACCCGAAAGAAATCTTTTTTTTATTGTTGTATTTTTTTCTGGTGCAAATTCTTTGGCTATGCTTTAGAACTCCTCGACGTGTCTCGCGGCCTTTAAAGAATTATTTTCAAAATCTTTCCACACATTAAATTGGTTTTTTTTTTGGGGGCAATACAGTTTTTTTAGTTTTGGATTTGGTTTTTGCTTGTTGATGCGCTGCGCGGCTGTGCTATTTGAGGTAGGTGCCCCGTACGCCTCTACTTGATTCATGATTTTGGCGGCCACCTAGTATAATATTTATCTGAATAATAAAAAAAAAACACAATTTTTTTTTAACGTCTTCAATTAGTATTTAAAGAGCCATAAAACTGTTGTGACGTAAATCGAAAGACAGCGTCCAAAAATTTGCAGCTATATTCCAGATACTTTTACTTATAGATACATAAGTTTCTCGACGTGTCGCCTCGTTAAAAATCATTTTCATATTCATAACACTGCAGGAACCCCAGACTCTATATAACCATAGGCATAATTATCTACTCTGTGTGTGTGTGTTTGTGTTTTTTCTTACTTTTATGACTTTCACATGTGAATTCTTGTTGCTGGTTTCTTGAAATGCTTCATCAAATGTTATTTTAATGTGAATTTGGTTTTCGGTCTCGGTTACGCTTAGGGTCAGAGTCTATTTGGTTCTATCTAGTATTTTGCGCACTGCCAAACGTCCTTGAAATTGGCCTCTGTGTGTGTGTGTGTGTGCGAGTAGGTGTGACAAGCATCTGTCAAGCTCGCCATTTTGTTGCGAGTGACACCTAGAGAGAAAAATCCGGCGTTAGCTTCTACTTGGAAAGTTTCCTTTTCTTTTTATCCTTTGGGAATAGGCTTTAGGGAAGGTGCCACAGTTTCAAGTGAATACATTTCGTGGTAACATTATATATGTGTTAATGACTGTCCATTCCTGTTTCTTATAGAGACTTTAAATTGAATATGCTGTCAATATCAAATCTGTTTCTCAATCAACCTAATGAAATGTGCATTTAGATATTTCCATTAAGTGCAACGAATTGAAATAAACTTAAAGTAAAGAAGAAGAAGAAGCCTGTCACTCTGTACTCTGTTCCTTACAACACACACAGTTACAGTTAGTAAAACTCTGAAAATGTAACTTCTTGTTTGGAATATAATGAAAACAGTGATCCAAGATTGAGGTAGATACAAATAGAATAGAAAGAGAAGAAAGAGAGAAGAGTCGAAATTGTAAATCTAATCTAAGTCAGGTTTTATAATAAGTAAATGCTTATGAAATTTAAGGAGATGAGACGGAAGAGCAAAGCCAATCTGAAGTCGAAGTTTCGGACGTCACGACTCAAATTCAGTTAAATTACGATATGAATTCTCGACCATGGAGAAATTCTCGTCGAGTTTGCATATTCGGCTCTAAGCATTGCGTGGGTGAGTAGGTAGAGTAGGAGAACTTTACAAAGCAGGCTGTAGTGGATGGAAGCAGGGAGGTAAGGCACTTGGTATTGCTGGAATATGCTGACAGCGAGAAGTCCGCAGGGCAAATTCTACTTACTTATATCAATATGCATGACAAGTTTAAAAGCCTTGTGAAAAACATTAAGTAAAAGGAAGATGGCAGCAGCCAAAACAGAGGCAGAAACAGCGACAGAGACAAGGCGAGGAGTCGCTGATGTCTGCAATACAAGGTGAACGAGAAGTGAGAAGCGGGGCAAGGGCAAATGGCAAGTGGCAACTGACTGTAAATAGAGAAAGTCAGTTTGCTAACTAAATGCAAAGTACACGCAACTGGAGTGGAAATAAAATGTGAATAGTCAAGTCAAAGTTCTTGCTTATAATGTGACTGAAAGGATGCTAAAAAGGATCTGTCGCTGTGATTCCAAGACAGACAAAAAATAAAAACGTGCCCTTCTATATAGGAATTAACCACTTGATATAAGAAGAAAGAGAAAGAAAAAGACAGATAGAGATAGAGATAGAGATAGAGATAGAGATAGAGATAGAGATAGAGATAGAGATAGAGATAGAGATAGAGATAGAGATAGAGATAGAGATAGAGATAGAGATAGAGATAGAGATAGAGATAGAGATAGAGATAGAGATAGAGATAGAGATAGAGATAGAGATAGAGATAGAGATAGAGATAGAGATAGAGATAGAGATAGAGATAGAGATAGAGATAGAGATAGAGATAGAGATAGAGATAGAGATAGAGATAGAGATAGAGATAGAGATAGAGATAGAGATAGAGATAGAGATAGAGATAGAGATAGAGATAGAGATAGAGATAGAGATAGAGATAGAGATAGAGATAGAGATAGAGATAGAGATAGAGATAGAGATAGAGATAGAGATAGAGATAGAGATAGAGATAGAGATAGAGATAGAGATAGAGAGAGATAGAGATAGAGATAGAGATAGAGATAGAGATAGAGATAGAGATAGAGATAGAGATAAAGATAGAGATAGAGATAGAGATAGAGATAGAGATAGAGATAGAGATAGAGATAGAGATACTTTTCGACTGAGATTGATTAGACAGAATAACTAGTCACAATGTACGGACGTATTTCTCGACCGATTCTATTTAATTAATTTGTCCGATAACAATATGTTTGTTATATAAATATGTAAATATGTAAATATGTAAATATGTAAATATGTAAATATAATTATGTAAATATTTAAGGACAAGGACTCGACTGTAGAAACATTTATGCATGTAATATATTTGTGTAGTCAGAGTTCTCTTCTCTTCTATGTCTTCAAAAGTTGAGACAAATAAAATATATATTTTAAGCAGATATACATCATGTTCTCGCTGGGAGTTTGGAAGTTGTAAAAATAAAGAACCCTAATTAGGAGG